ATGAGGTCTACTCCATTTCTTCTAAGGGATTCTTATCCACTGTAGCATATATAATGATCTTCTGAATTAAATTCTCCCATTTCTGTCCATTTGCATTCAATGACACCCAAGATGTTGATATTTGATCTTTCCACCTCCTGCTTGACCACGTCCAGCTTACCATGGTTCATAGATAATAAGATTTCAGGTTCCTGTAAGTAGTGATCTTTTTTTTTGGTAAATTTTATTTTTTCCCAATTACATGTAAAAACAATTTTTAACATTTTTTTTTATTTTGTGTTGCAAATTCTCTCTCTCCTCTCACTCCTACCTGAGAAGATAAGCAGTTTGGTACAGGTTATGCATAAGCAACCATGCAAAACATATTTCCATATTAGTCATGTTGTAAAATAAAATATAGACCCTTTCTCCCCCCCCCAAAAAAAACCATGAAAAAAACAAAGTGAAACACAGTATGCTTCAATCGGCATTCAGACGCCATCAATTCTTTCTTTGGAGGTGGATACCATTGTTTATTATGAGTCCTTTTGAATTTGTCTTGGGTCATTGTATTGCTGAGAATGGCTAAGTCATTCATAATTGATCATCTTACAACACTGCTGTTACTGTGTACAATATTTTCCTGGTTCTGCCCACTTCACTTTGCATCAGTTCATGTAAGTCTTTCCAGACTTTTCTGAAAACATCCTGCTCATCATTTCTTATAACACAATAGCATTCCATTACAATCATATATGACAACTTGTTCAGCCATTCCCTAATTGATGGTTATCCCCTCAATTTCCAATTTTTTGCCACCACAAAAAGAACTGCCTTAAATACTTTTGTACTAATAGGCCATTTTCCTTTTTTTTTTTTTTTTCATCTTTTTGAGATAAAAACCTAATCGTAATATTGCTTGATCAGAGGTTGTGTACAGTTTCATAGCCCTTTGGGCACAGTTGCAAATTGCTCTCCAGAATGGTTGGATTAATTTACAACTTTCCTAACAGTGCATTAATGTCCCAATTTTCCCACATCTCCTCCAACATTTATCATTTTCCCTTTCTATCACATTAGACAGCCATATAGGTGGGAGGAGGTTCTTCCAAGATATTTTAATTTGCATTTCTCTAATCAATAGTGATTTAGAGCATTTTTTCACATGATTATAGATAGCTTTAATTTGTTCTTCTCAAAACTGCCTTCATATCCTTTGACCATTTATCAGTTGGAGAATGATTTATCTTCTTATAAATTGACTCAGATACCTATATATTTGAGAAATAAGGTCTTTATCAGAGACATTTGCTGTAAAAAAAATTGATTTCCAGCTCTCTACTTTCCTTCTAATCTTGGTTGCATTGGTTTTGTTTGTGCAAAACCTTTTTAATTTAATATAATCAAAATTATCCATTCTCCATCTCATTATGCTCTCTGTTTCTTGTTTGCTCGTATATTCTTCCCTTTTCCATAGATCTTACAGGCAAACTATTCCGTGCTCTCCTAATTTGTTTTGGTATCACCCTTAATGTCTAAATTATTTGTCCATTTTGACCATATCTTGGTTTACAGTGTAAGATGGTGGTCTGTACCTAGTTTCTGTCATATTGTTTTCTAGTTCTCCCAGCAGTTTTTGTCAGATAGTGAGTTCTTGTCCCAAAATCTTGTATCTTTGCAAACAGTAGATTACTATGGTCATTTACTACTGTGTATTGTGTACCTAAATCTATTCCACTAATCCATCACTCTATTTCTTAACCAGTACCAGATTGTTTTGGTGATTACCACTTTATATTACACTTATTATATGACTACACCACCTTCCTTCACCTTTTTTTTTTTTTATTAATTCCCTTCACATTTGACTTTCTGTTCTTCCGGATAAATTTTGTTTTTATTTTTTCTAGCTCTATAAAATAATTTTTGGTAGTTTGTTTGGTATGGCACTGAATAAGTAAATTAATTTATGTATAATTGTCATTTTCTATGTATTCATTTAGCCTATTCATGAGCAATTGATATTTTTCCAATCAATATTTTATTTGTATGAAAAGTGTTTTATAATTGTGTTCATATTGAATTTGTCTTGGCAGCTAAGTATTTTATATTGTCTATAGTTATTTTAAATAGAATTTCTCTTTTCTATCTCTTGCTGCTGGACTTTGTTGGTAAAATATAGAAATGCTGATGACTTATTTGGGTTTATTTATATCCTTTAACTTTGCTAAAGTTGTTAATTGATTCTCTAGGATTCGCTAAGTATACTGCCATATCATCTACAAAGAGTGATAGTTTTTTTTTCCCCATTGCCTATTTTAATTTCTTCCATTTCTTTTTCTTCTCTTACTCTGAATAGCTAGCATTTCTAGAATACTGAATGATTGTAGTAATAATGGGCATTCTTGCTTCACCCCATCTTATTGGGAAAGCTAGCTTTTCTCATTACAGTTAATGATAACTGTTGGTTTTAGATAGATACTAGTTATCATTTTAAGGCAAGATCCATTCCTATTGTCTCTTGTGTTTTTAATAGGAATGGGTGTTGTTTTTTGTCAAAGATTTTTTTCTGCATCTATTGAGATAATCATAAGATTTCTGTGTATCTTGTTATTGTTATAATCAATTATGCTGATACCTTTGCTAATATTGAACCAGCCCTGCATTCCTGGTATAAATCTCACCAGGTCATATTGTATAATCCTTGTGATATATTGCTATAATCTCCTTGTTAGCATTTTATTTAAAATTTTTGCATCAATATTCATGAGGGAAATTGGTCTGTAGTTTTCTTTCTCTGGTTTTGTTCTTCCTGGTTTAGGTATCAGCACCATATTTGTGTTCTAAAAGGAATTTGGTAGGACTCCTTCTTTGCCTGTCTTTCCATATAGTTTATACAGTATTGGAATTAATTGTCCGTTAAATGTTTGGCAGATGCAGTATTGATCTTTATAGCATCAGACTTTCCTTTTGTTACCAGACACATCTTCAGCTGAGCCTCCTTTCGGCTTTGGCCCAGCTGCTTTGTTCTTTCTGGAGCTACGGATGAGTACTGAAGGAGAATTCTCATCTTGATGTTGCATGAATAAATTAGAATGCTTCCCTCTGTTCCCCAGGCACTTTTAGGTAGGATTGTCACATAAAGAGGTTATTTGAGCTTGTGTCATTTATTTCCTCATTCTTCCTTCATTCAGCAATTATCCCCTCCTGAAAGAATCATAATTTAAAAAAAAAATCATAGAATCATGCTGTCATCAGTGGTTTCTGCCCCTAATGTTTCCCTTCCATTAGTTTTGATCCTGTGAATTTAACATGAAGAATCTATGATGTCTTCAGTGTAGGGTAGGTTCTGAACACAGAAACTTTCTGCCTGTGACCCTGAACACCAAGAGTCTTGGAAATAGCAGTGCTTCCATCCTCACACGCCAAGTCGCCATCCTGGGAAGCACCCCTCGTGGAGATAAAGCCTGGCAATGGTGCTGCAGCCAAAACTACTAAAGTCCCAGGAAAGAAAGTTCTTCTCACTAAAGTCAAATGATTGAACATCAGAAACTGTTAAGATTTTATAGTGGGAATGACATTAAAGAAGAGGCATTACCATCTGTTTTACCACTGCACCCTAAGGGCCATGGGACCTTTCCATATGTCTTGTGTCCCCTATTAGAACATGAGCTCCTTGAGATCAGAGACTATCTGACTTTTCTATTTGTGTCCTCAGCATGGCACCTAGTAGAGGCTTTAGTAAATGCTAGTTGACTGACTGATTAGTAAGTGATTAATAAATGCTTTATTTAGTCCCGTATTCGATGAAGATCAAACTCTCTCTGAGTTAAGTCCTAGAAAGTTACCTGAGAAACATAAATGTTAAATGACTTGTCTTATCAATAGACCACATAGTGAATTACTCTGCTGGGAATGTCAGGGACAGGATTTGAACTCATGTTTTCCCTACTTCAGGCCCAACGCTAACTCAATCCACCTCTCCTATGAATTTTAATTTTTCTTATTTTCAATTTCCAAATGAAAAGCCTCCTCAGCTTCTCTCATGATCCATAATATTGTCAAGCCTCCCACTTGGTTTTTTAATGATCTCACTGACAACACAAATCTCTCTGTGGTTTCTTTGTGTATATCTGCAAGAGACTCGCAGACTGGTAGCCTTATGTTTTATTTTGTGGTCAAACTTGAAAAACAATTCCCTCTCTTCCTATTCAATAGGCGAAACAAGCCAGCTGCTGCTGCTGTGTTGGCTTTAGGAGTTGCCTGAAGCATTTTGTTTACAGTGCCAGTCATGTCAGAAATCAGTCTTCACATGTACTTGCTACCTCTCATTAAACCGGAGGGTCAGTTTACAAATCTGAAGGCAGTAATCTCAGGAAAAAAGATGTAAGAAGAAAACACAGGATATAGAGTAGATCCTACTTAAGATGCTAATTGCCATCAAGAGTTTTTTCTGTGCCACTTTTGGAAAGGAATAGTTGGTTTGGTTTAGAATACCAGAAAGAAAGTTTAATATTCAAAGACAATTGAACAGCAGGCCATACTAGAACCTCTCTTCCAATTATAATGTGTTAAGGAAATAGTAAGTGTCAAAACTGATGTTTTCCACCTGTGGTTGGATCTGTCTCGTTGTTTGTTTGTTTATTTTTGCTTCATTTCCTGCCTTTCCCTTTCCAACTTCTCCCATTTCCAAAGCCCCCTCTGAAAATGAATTGCTAACACTTAGTCAAGTGTCTTAGAAGGGACTTGTTCCCCTGCTGTTGGGCTTAAACATGGCTCCTGTCCTCTTACCCCTGACTCAATGAAGTTTCTCTGTTTCTGCTGTGAGAAAAACCCGTATCTGGGTGAAAGTCATTTATGATTTTCACAGCATGTCCATAGAGAGGCAGAAGGCTCCATCTAAGACACTCTGGGCTTATAACCCTGCCTCAGGCACTTACTGGTGGGTGCTAGCCATCTTTCTTCTTGTAGGACTTCACCTGGTCTGACTGACTTTTGAACTTGTCCTTCTGTTCTTTCAGATTTTTGACAGTGAAGCCAAAGATGTAGAACGAGAAGTTTGTTTTATTGATATTGCCTGCGATGAAATCCCTGAGCGCTACTATAAAGAATCTGAGGTAAGCAACAGGTGGGGACTGAATCGCAGGTGGTGGATGTTGTCTTAGAGGGACCTGGGAAATCTCTTATCCATTTTTTAAAATGATTCGATATCATGCATATAGCAGTTGTTTAGTAAATATTTGTTGATTTGAGACTATCTACTCATCTAATAGAAATGGAGAAATACCCAGTTATGTGGTCAGCTAATATATTTGAGATGCCCTCCTGCCTTTCTTGGAATAGATAGTCCAAATAATAATAGCTAACATTTATTTAGCGCTTATTGTGTTCCAAATACTGTGGCAAACACTTTATAATTACCCAAATAGATCTGTGATCTCACTGATTTGGGAGTTTCTCCATTAACCCATCCGTGCCTACCAAGGCATTGCTTTCAGTTCAGTGCAATACAGTGAGACTATCAGGCACAAGAATTGCATCCTGCTGGACTCTTTGGCCCCAGGTCTCCAGGCAAAGTCTCCAACTTCTAAGGACCTTGTATAGATTTAATTGTAGAGTTCTGTATCTGGAGTCAGGAAAACATGAGTTCAAATCTGGCGTCAGATACTCATGAGCTTTGTGTGACCCCGGACAAGTGACTTCACCTCCACCTGCCTCAGTTTCCTCATCTGAAAAATGAGGATAATAATACTGTCTACTCCCCCTTCCCCAGGGCTGTTGTTAGTATCAAATGAGACATTTGTAAACTGTTTTGCAAACCTTAAAGCTCTATATAAATGCTAAGCTTTTATTTTTATAACAACAATGCCAGTCTGTGTGAAGTTACAACTTGGGCACCCTATTCATTTTTTATTTATGTATAATGCTCTGTATAATCAGTGACTGAGCAAGAGTCCTTTTGATAGAGAGAAGAAATATAAACATGTCAGTAGAAGCTTCTATGCAATATAATCTCTATGAGCCTATGTATTTCTGTGGAAATATCTTTTTTTTAAGCATTTATTAATCTTTTATTATATGCCAGCTATTATGCTAAGCATTGAGGATGCAAATACAGGCAAAAAGAAAGATTGTCTTTGTCTTCCAGGAGTTTATATTCTTTTTTTTCCCTCAATTTTATTAATTTGTTTATTTTTGGTTTTCAACATTCACTTCCACAAGATTTTGAGTTCCAAATTTTCTCCCCATATCGTCCCTCCCCCCACCCCAAGATGGAGTGCATTCTGAATACCCCTTCCCCTAATCTGCCCTCCCTTCTACCTCCCCCTCTTCTCTTATCCCCTTCCCCTTTTATTTTCCTGTAGGGCAGGATAGATTTTTATACACCATTGCTTGTATATCTTATTTCCAGGTTGCATGTGAAAACAGTTTTTAACATTTGTTTTTAAAACTTCGGGTTCCACATTTTCTCCCTTCCTCCTTCCCCATCCACCCTCATTGAGAAGGCAAGCAACTCAATACATGTTATATATGTGTAGTCATGCAAAATATTTTCTATGGAAATAACTTAAGATGTCTATATGAACTTAGAAGAAACCTTTATGGGCAACTTCCACAAGGACAAAAGAGAGGAAATTGAGTCTGATTTTGCTGGTGTTGTAAGTTAGATTTCTTGGATTTTTCATCAAAATTATTTATTTAAGACTTTTGCATAAAATCATGGGACCATTCAAATAATTCAGGTAAATTCAGGTCATCCTCTAGTATCCCCACTGTTTCCAGGTAGGCCTACATTGAAATGGTCTCAGGAAGAGAATTCAGAGTTTTCAAAGAAAGGGGACTGTGTGTCCTCTGCTCACAGAATCACAAATTTAGGTTTCCTTTAGATCAGCTAGTCCAGCCCCTTCATTTTTCTGGGTAGGAAAGTAAGACCCAGACTTGTCCAAGGTTACTTAGGTGCTAAGGGATTCAAACCCAAGTCCCCCAACTCCAAATCTGACATTCTTTCAACTGTACGATTGCTACATTCAGACTTCATCTCAGCATCCCAGAAGGCCCACGTATTTTCATTTATAGAGAGTGACTTCACTGCAATGCGATCAGACCATGAATTACACTGAGACTATCTAGGCATAGGTAATCGCAGAATGAGGTTGCAAAATGGCTCCTAGCCCCATAGCTTAAGCAACACCTTGCACATAGCAGTGGCTTAGTAAATATTTGTTGATTTGAGACTCTCTACTTATCTAATAGAAATGAAGAAATACCAAGTAATGTAGTCTCCTAATATATTTGAGATGCCTACTACCATTCAGAGATTAGAAAGCTCAAAAAAGAATAGCTAATATTTATGTAGCACTTACCATGTGCCAGATACTGGGCTAAGCACTTTACAATTACCCAAATCGATCTGTGATCTCACCGATTTGGGAGTTCCACCATCATCCCATCCATGTGCAATTTCTGTCCATGTTCTCCAAAAAAGTTTGCCACAGTGGGGTCTGGTTTACTAAACATTCTGGAGGCCTGCTTTGTTTTCTCCCAACATTGTGAGGTACCAGTAGAGCATTCTAGCTGTCCCCCTCATTAGTGTGATGGATTGGGCAGTGGACCTGGAGTAAGGAGGACTTGAGTTCAAATGTGACTACATTCACTAGCTAGCTATGTCATCCTAGGCAAATCACTTAAACTGTGTTTGCCTCAGTTTCCTCATTTGTAAAATGGAGATGATAATAATAGCATCTCCCTCCCGTGGTTGTTGTAAGGCTCAAATGAGAAAGTAATTGTAAAGTGCTTAGCACAGTGCTTGGCTTATAAAAGGCACTGTATGAATGTTTATTCCCTTCCACTGATCATCTCTCACTCTTATTACATGACTGTTTCATCTTCTTTTCCTGTAATATAGTTCCTTGATGAAATCTTTTATGTTTTTCAGAATTTCTTCTTGACTATGTGATGTAGCCTACCCACACCTACCATATACATATACTTCTCTGTTTCTGGCTATGTGGTATTCATCTTTAGTTTTTCTAGTTTATTTTATTTTTATTTATTTTTATATTCTTTTCTTTTAAAATTTAGAGTTCCAAATTCTCTCTCCCCATCCCTTCCACACCCACTGAGAAGGCAAACAAAATTATGTCAATTATACATGTAAAATCATGCAAAAGATATTTCCATATTAGCCATGTTGCAAAAACAAAGCAAAACAATAAAGGAAAATTATATTTCCATCTGTACTCAGAGTTGCTCATTTCTTTCTCTGGAAGTGGATAGCATTTTTTCATTGTGAGTCCTTTGGAATTATCTTGGATCATTGTAGTGCTCAACGTAACTAAGTCTTTCACAATTGAACATCTTTACAATATTGCTGTTACTGTTCACAATGATTTCTCGATTCTTCTTACTTCACTTTGCATCAGTTCATATAGGTCTTGCCATTTTTTTCTAACCATCCCCTTCATTATTTCTCACAGCACAATAGTATTCCATCACAAACATATGCCACAACTTGTTCAGCCATTTCCTCAATTAATGGGCATTCCCTCGATTTCCAATTCTTTGCTACCAAAAAAGAGCTGCTATAAATATTTTTGTACATATAGGTCCTTTCCCTTTTTCTTTGATGTCTTTGGGTCCAGACCTAGTAGTATTGTGGGGTCAAAGGGTATGCACAGTTTTATAGCTCTTTGGACATAGTTCTAAATTGTTCTCCAGAATGGTTGGACCACTTCACAACTGTAACTATTAGTAGCATTTGTGTACTTATTTTCCCTCATCCTCTTCTAGCGTTTGTCATTTCTGATAGTTGTGAGGTGGTACTTCAGAGTTGTTTTAATTTGCCTTTCTCTAGTCCATAGTGATTTAGAGCATTTTTTCATATAACTTTAAATAGCTTTGATTTCTTCTGAAAACTGTCCATCCCTTGACCATTTATCAATTGGCTAATGGCCTTTATTTTTACCAATTTGACTTAGTTCTCTATGTATTTGAGAAATTAGGCCTTTATCAGAGAAACCTGCTTTAAAATTTTTCTATGTTCACCCCATTCACATTCATAGTTGTGTTTAATAATTATATATTTCATTCTATCCTGTTTTGTTCTATTTATCCTTTTCTCTCTCTTTTTATCCTGTCTCCCCTTAAAAGTCTGTGTTGCTTTTGACCACTGCCTCTCTTTAATCTTTCCTCCCTTTTATCATCTCTATCTCTCCCTGCCTGCATATCTCATATCTCTTATTATCCTCTTCCCCTCCTATTTTCCTGTTGGATAAGTTAGATACCAAATTGTGCATATATATATTCTTCCCTCTTTGATCCAATTCTGAGGAGAATGAGTTTCACTTATTGCCCACTACCCCCCCCATTTTTCCCCTCCACTCTAAAATCTCTTCCTTATGTGCCTCTTTTATATGAAAATTTTCCCCATTCTGTCTCCCTTCCCCCTTCTCCCACTACAAACCTCTTTTTCACTCTTTCTTTCTTTTTTTTTTTTTAGATCATTCCAAACATAATTGATGCATACCCATGCCCTCTATTTATTTAAACTCTTTTTAACTGCCCTAATAATGATGCACTTCTTAGGAGTTAAATGTATCATCTCCCCATATAGGAATATAAACAGTTTAACTTTATTAAATCCCTTATGACTGCTCTTTTATGTTTACCTTTTTATGCTTCTCTGGAATTATCTGTTTAAATGTCAAATTTTCTATTTGCCTCTGATATTTTCATTAGGAATGTTTGTAAGTCCTCTATTTCATTAGATATCCATTTTTCCTCTGAAGGATTATACTCAGTTATGCTGGGTATGTTATTTTTTTTACTCAGTTATGCTGGGTATGTTATTTTTTTTATTGTATTCCTCACTCCTTTGCCTTCTAAAATATCATATTCCAAGCCTTCCACTTTTTTAATTTTGAAAGCTGCTAAATCTTGTGTGATCCTGACTGTGGTTCCACAGTATTTGAATTGTTTCTTTCTGGCTATTTGCAATATTTTCTCCTTGACCTGGGAGCTCTGGAATTTGACTATAATATTCTTGGTAGTGCTCATTTTGGGATTACTTTTAGGAGGTGATTAGTGGATTCTTTCAATTTCTGTTTTACTGCCTTGA